GGGGGGGGGGGAGTGACAGTGAGTGGGAACAGTTATAGGCGATAATAGGTGGGTGTTGGTTTGTAGTGGTAGATGTGGTAGGGGTGGGAGACAGTGGCTGGTGGCGATGGTGGGCGACGACGAGTGATAGGTGACGGTGGTAGTGAGATGATGGTGGTAATGGTAATAAATATAAAAATGATTTGACGATGGGAATGAGTGATGGCGATGGACAACAGTGGTAGCAACTGGTGGTGGGTGGCAATGATGAAGGTAGGGGAAGTGGGGATGGGGGTGGGGTTGGCGATGGTGATGGTGGTGGTAGAGTGGCGACAATGGTGGTGGTGGTGATGGTGGTTGGGATAGTGGGGATGGTGGTGGTGGTCGTGGGGTGGCAATTGTGGTTTTTACAATAGCAATGGAGGTGGTTTGTTGTGGCACAGGTGGTGTTGGAGTGGCAACGATGGTGGTAGTGGGGGTAATGGTGGGGCAATTAGGGTGGTAGTGGTAGTAGTAAAGTGGTTTTAAATATTAAATTTTTTTAAAGTACTTTTGAGAAGTTATAAGTTCTAAAGATACTTTTAAAAAGTCACTCAAAATACATCCTTAGTGACCTATTTTTCCTATTAAATTTAGAATGTTAATATTAGTTGTCAGATTAACTTTAAAGTAAAATTTAAACAAATCTAGACCGTAAAAAACTAAAATGATTTTGTTTATCTTTTCAGATTTAAATTGTATTATAATTTAATAAATAGACTAGTTATTACCCATGCCTGAAGGTAAGGAAAAATAAAAAAAATGGTCAAGAATAAACATATTTGTATTCACACCCAAAATTAAATCACAAACATAAAGGAGAGAAAATGAAATTTAAGTACCGATTGTAGTAAAAGTAAGCGGTAAGTGAGGTGGTGGGAGACATTGGTGGGTGGCAACGACCATGGTGGTGGTGGCAGCCATGAGTGGCAACGACAATGGTGGTGGTGAGTTTTGGGTGGTAATGGTGGTAATGACAAACATGGGTGACGACGATGGTAGTGGTGGGCGACAGTCATAATGGTTGACAATGGTGGTGGTGGGGAGACGATGGTGGGTTGTGGTGTTGGGCGGTAACGATGATGGTAGTGAGAGACGACAAGTGCTTCTAGGCGACAGTGTGATGGATGGTGACGAATGACAGTGGTGGTGGGTGACGATGGGCAGCGATAGTGGTAGGTGNTGGTGTTGGGCGGTAACGATGATGGTAGTGAGAGATGACGAGTGCTTCTAGGCGACAGTGTGATGGGTGGTGACGAATGACAGTGGTGGTGGGTGACGATGGGCGGCGATAGTGGTAGGCGATGACGGGTAGTGGTGGTAGGTGTGGTGGGGATGGGTGATAGTAGCTGGCGGTGATGGTGGGCGATAATGGGTGGTGATGGGTGGTTGTGGTAGGTGTGGTGAGGGTGGGTGATAGTGGCTGACTGCGATGGTGGACAACAACGGGTGGTGATGGACAACAATGGTTGAAGGGGGCTGACGGTGGGCAACGATAANTGGTAGGTGTGGTGGGGATGGGTGATAGTAGCTGGCGGTGATGGTGGGCGATAATGGGTGGTGATGGGTGGTTGTGGTAGGTGTGGTGAGGGTGGGTGATAGTGGCTGACTGCGATGGTGGACAACAACGGGTGGTGATGGACAACAATGGTTGAAGGGGGGCTGACGGTGGGCAACGATAATAGTGGAATGATAGTGGTAGTGATAATAACTATAAGAATTTGATGACAATGGTGGTGGGTAGTGGCGGTGGACGACGATTGTAGCAATTGGTGGTGAATGGCGATGGTGGTGGTGGGGTAGGGGTAGTGGTGGGGGCAATGGTGGTGGTGGCAGNATGGTGGTGGGTAGTGGCGGTGGACGACGATTGTAGCAATTGGTGGTGAGTGGCGATGGTGGTGGTGGGGTAGGGGTAGTGGTGGGGCAATGGTGGTGGTGGCAGGGGATGGCAGCGGCGACGGTGAAGGGTGGCGGTGAAGGTGGTGGTAGGTGGTGGCGATGATAGTGGTGGTAGGTTTGTGACGGTGGCGGTGGTGGTGATAGTCCTGAGGGTTGTGGTGATAGAGGTGATAATGGGACAGTGACGGTGGTGATATCGTGGCGATAACGGTGGTGGTGTTTGTGGGGTGACGATGGCGGTGGTCGTGGGAATTGTGGTGGTTGGGTGGGGGTGGTGTAGGGGCAGTGGGGGCCTACAGTGACGGCGACGGTGACGGTGACGACAGTTGTGGTTGTGGTGGTGGTGGTGGTGGTTGTTGTTGTAGAAATGCTGATGGGGTGGTGATGACAGTGGTGGTGGTGGGGTAGAGTGGGTGGTTATGGTGGTAGCGTGGCGACAACGATGGTGGTAGTAGAGCGGTGATGGTGGTGGGGTGGTTTTAAGTACTTTTTTTTTCTTTTTAAAATATTTATAAGTAGTTATAAGTTTTAGAAGCAGTTTTAAAAATTCACCCCATGGCCCAAACACTCTTATAGACCTAATTTTTCTATTAAATTTGGAGTATTAATATTAGCTGTCAAATTAATTTTAAAATAAAATTTAAAACGATATCAACCATGAAAAATAAAAATATTTTTATTTATTTTTGAATTTGAATTTATATTATGATAGATATAACCAAAAAAAGTTAAATGCAAACAATACTTCTAGAAGTAACAATGACTGACCTTGGGAAGTCCAACGAAGCAGAGCCTAGGAGCAAGCTGTGGGGGAAAGACATGCTTGTACAACGGCCCGACCCGATCATCCTCCACGGTTACAATGCCATTGGTATGGAGAAATGGAAAATCGTATTTGTATCTGTGAAATTTTGTTAGAACTTGTGTTCTGGTTCTTGTTCGATGGATTTGAAAAAAAAAAAGAAGAAATGAAACGAAAATAAAAATTGGTACGTGGATTGTACCCAATACAGTGAAAAATGAAATCTGCATGAATGGAATCTCCATCTTGAAAAGCTATTGTACCATTTTCATAGGACGTAATTAATCTGCAAAAAAAAAAAAAAAAGGGTCTATCGTAAACTAATTGCAAACAAATTAAAAAAAAAAAGAAGAAGAACAAGTACAATTACAAGAAGAAAGGTATGTCTTCATTCTTATGAGACGTGAAGTGAATGACCTTATCACATTACCTCATCAATGACTTCAACTAGTTTCACACTGCCCAAATGCAAATGCTTATTCTGTTCTATTTTCTTGCAAGTGCACTATTTCCTTATTGTTTTATACCTAATAGAGAAGACTATCTCACCTGTAACTACTGATATTGTCTCGCTCATTGTTGAGTCATCAATCACTTTACGAGTTTTTTCGTACTCAGCTTTGGCCTCTATATAAGTATATGTGTTTGTCTCCCTATCGCCTGATATCTTTTTTTATCGTTTGCAAACCGATAATGTCCACATCTCATTATGTTTTTAGGGAAAAGTGGAATGAGCCCACATAGTTTAGAATACAAAATAAACCACCTTTTTGCTTAACTCGTTGCGAGAAACTCGATAATTAAGATAGGCAATGTGAGATTGGAGTTATACAATTATCAAAAAAGAAAAGAAAAGAAAAACCTCGGAATGCTGCCACATATTTTCGTGGTTGCCCAGCTTTGAACATTTAACATTTGGAGATCTTGAGGAAAGATGAACTTCTTTGGCCACCGTCGCAATTTCTATGGATATATCACGAGCACTTGGTCCATTTCCGATCACTGCCACACAATCTTTCAGGTGGATTAATACTNCCACCGTCGCAATTTCTATGGATATATCACGAGCACTTGGTCCATTTCCGATCACTACCACTATCTTTCAGGTGGATTAATATTTGATCATAAATCTATTGAACAAGAAGAATATGTTCCGCTTGTTAACAATTTATTTTATTTTTATTTTTTTGCGTAAAAAAAGTAATATTATGTTTCTCAACTATTTTAGAAAAGTGATTTAAACTATTTTAGAAAAGTGATTTAGATACATTTCATAATTTAATTAATACACATGTACTAGTAATAACCAGTGCTTGATGACAATCTGTAATTAAAAAAAATAGAATATTGATTGGGTTATATTTATATTTTAAATAAGAATTTATTTTTTCTTTTATTGACTTTAATTGCACAATTTTATATTAAAATGAACAGAAATAAAATAAGAGATGTAAGTGTAGATTAATGAGATTGTTTGACATTAGGGAGTATGTTAGTTAAGTTTTTAGATATCGGAGGTCGTGCAGAGAAGAGTTTTTTAGCGGAAAAAATAATATTTGAGATGAATATTATATCATTGGATCAAAATAAATAAAAAAAATGGATCAATTTTGATTGTTGTTACATTTTTATAAGCTAAGAATTCAACTTCCTATCTATAATATTAGAATACAAATTTATATAATAAAATACAACACAATTTAAATCTCAAATTATAAACAAAATGACTTTTACTTTTCGCGGTTGAAATCTCTTTCAATTTTATTTTAAAGTTAATCTGACAGTTAATATTGAGAACCCAAATTTAATAGGAAAAATAAACTCTTAAAGGTGTGTTTGGGGTAACTTTCTCTGTCCCCTATCTTTGTTATTTGATTTTGAGTATGAATACAAATAAATTTATTGTTGATAATTTTTTTATTAGTCTGGGCCTTTAGGCACGAGAAATAGCCGGTAGATATATATGTTACGGTACATATTATTAAGATTAGAAGGAAAGAGTAAACTCGACCAAAAAAAAAAAAAAGCACAAAAACGAAAGTGCAAAAGCTAAGTTACTTAAAAAAGTACTTTAAAAAGAAAAAAAAGTGATAAAAATACTTTAAAAATTCTTGCAAAACAGTACCTAAAAACAAAATAGACAGTATGGTAGATGCAGCTGCATACCTGATCTTGAAATGGTTTAGGAACACGATAAATGTGGCTATGCACTTGCTTTCCAGGCCATTTCTCAATACCTGCTTTGAAATTATAAAAAGCAAAGATATCTAATGCATAACTATATACTAAAATATGGTCTGCAAAACGTCATGTGATCGAAATTCTTATAGTTCGGGTTTGTAGTGGCTTGCTAGCCTTTTGGTTCAAAAAGTAAAATTTATTTACTTACCAAAAAAATCGATAAGACTCATTCATTTATGATAAATTAGAAAACAGGTATAGAGGGTTGATAAGCCACTTAGACGAGATATAATCTCTAAAAAAAAGACTTAAAAGAGGACACAATCAAGTAGAATATGAGCAGGCATAATCAACATCGGCAAACATGACTCGATTAACATCTCTAAATTATATATATAATTTACATACCTATATACAAATAATATTGAATTTTGTGGAAAACTCAATTTATTTGAGGCTTGCCGATGTCTTTGTTTTGTAAGAATTACCAGTGCATGTAAACAGGGGCGGGGAGCCAGCATTTCACATTAGAGGGGCAAACTATGATCGAAAAAAATTTCAATTCATTCATCGATTTACCGAAAGCACTATTACAATTTTAACTTAAACAAAATATAAATAAAAAAATATAAAATAACTTATGTTTAGTACATTTCAACTCAATCACATATTAAAATAGAAGACGATGTTATTTTAAATCTTAAAATTTGTACATAATGAATTGATCATAAACTAAATTTTTAGTAATTTTCTTTAATGTACAAAACAACTTTGTATGTGATAAAATTATTCTTCATTTTATGTTGAGAAATCTAGTTGAAATCATTATTTACTTTGTTGGTGTACTCGATCCATAAACTAAAACATTGATTTTTTTTGAGGGGATATTGGGTTACTAACTTATCAAAAATTGAAAAAAAAAAAAAACTAAGACTATTATAAACATTTTCAAAAATTAAGGAGGGTAAATGTATTAAAATAACCAAAATTATCATCATTAATGATAAGTCGGGGGGGGGGGGGGGGGGGGGGAAGCTATTGGGTAAAATCACCAATTGAGGGAAGGTTGATTTTTATCGGAGGAACTCGCTAGNGGGGGGGGGGGGGGGGGGGGGTGGTTAAGTGCCCACCCTCATTCCTATTCCTATGTGGCTCCGCCCTTGCATGTACAATATGAGCAAACATAATGAACCTTGATAAGCATGTATATATGTATGTATCTCTCTCTCTCTATCTATATATATATATGTACGTATGTATTATGTGGAAAACTCAATTTATTTCGAGCCTGCCTGTCTTTGTTTTGCAAGGATTACCGGTGAACGTACGTACCTGGAAGATTTGCCACTCGAGTTGCAGAATAATGACCACTGCAAACCATCACTGCCTCAAATATTTCTTCCGAACTCAGTCCACTCGTTTTTGACTCAACAACCCACTCGTCGTTCCTCGAGTCGACCCGTTCAACTCGGACCACTTCAGTATTGAACCGTATCAACTCACCGATTCCAAATTCTTTAGCAAAATCACCCAAATACTTTAGCACTTCTTCATGCCCGGGAAAATTCCTAGAATCGCCATACTGCTTAGAAGTAAATGGGTAGTCTGAGTAGCCCATAACGTGTCTGGGTGTGTTGGTGCGAAGTGAGAAATAGAGGCTACTATGAATAATCTCTCTATTAGGATCGAGGCCGAGTGGATCGTCCTCGACTCGGGGGTCATACACCCATGGTCCACCGAGTCGATTTGCTTTTTCATACACTACGACTCGGTGGCCTTCTCTTTCAAGTTCACGGGCGGCAACAAGCCCAGAAACCCCAGCTCCGATCACCGCCACCTTCAATGACCGTGCCATAGTATATACGTATTTAGATGTATAGGGTGTGTTTGAGTAATGGGGTTAGATAGAGTAAGATTTCTGTTTTTATATCTTAACCTATTTGAGTTAAAATCACTTATCTATTTTAAAATTTTAACTTTGGAACAATTTTAAACTTTGGAACAAGGTTATGAATAATGGTAACGGTTTTCGTAATGATAACGGTAATGGTAAAACGGACGCGGGATGAAATGGGCGATACATTACAATAACGGAACCGAGATAGTGAATTTTTTGTTTTTATTTGCNTTAACCTATTTGAGTTAAAATCACTTATCTATTTTAAAATTTTAACTTTGGAACAAGGTTATGAATAATGGTAACGACTGTCGTAATGATAACGGTAATGGTAAAACGGACGCAGGATGAAATGGGCGTTACATTACAATAACGGAACCGAGATCGTGAATTTTTTGTTTTTATTCACACCTCTCTAAAAAAATAAATTTATGGATTTTTAACTCTAAACTTTTGTAAATATAGACCTTATGTGATACTTTATACATTTTATTGTATCATAAACAATGTTATATAAATTTATCATTTAATAATTACATGATAAGAGTTTTTACATGACTTTTAATTAAAGAGTTTTTACATTACTTTTAATTAAAGGCAATCCACTTAAATTTTTGTGGAAAAATTTAGAAATCGTATCCAATTGAGATGTAGAATCTTCTCTTTAATTATGGATGTACATTCCTAAAAGATGAAAAAATATTACCAAAATACAACATAAAAAATATAACTGTTAATTCCATTGGGCCAAGCTAGACCCATTTTTTACATTTGGGCTGGTTATCACTTTAGAGAATATCTTACAACAAGGGCAACTTAGTCTTTTCATAACCATTACCTAAACCCTAAAACTTATCTCTTTTCCTCCACTTTTCTCCGCTGTTCATCTGCCCCCTAATAGCTACTGTTCATCTGCCCCAAATAGCACTATCTTAAACAGAAAACTCATTTCTCTCTTCCACCATTGGCTAATCCATATAAGAATTAAAGCTCCACTCAAAGTTGCCAACCAGTGGTTTAGAAGTTGTTGCCGTTGAAGGGGAATCAAATTTACACATTTTTATTCTTTTGCTTTCATTTGTTCTTTGATTTTATGGTTTTCTAGTAAAAATCCACGGCTGTTGAAGTGTAACGGCTGAATAACGGAATATAATGCCCGTTACAGCCCATTACGCCACTGTAACGCCCGTTACGGGTGTGAATTTTTTTCTGGCCGTTAAATCAGGGTGTAACGGTATTGCTGGACTCCGATACTATTATGTAACAAGCGTTTTTTAAAACCCTGCTTTGAAATATATCCAATCCTAACCTCTGTGAGAAACAAATGTGTAATTTAGTTAGTCTCAAACATTACACAAATAATTTTATAATAGTTATCATTTTATCAAAGGCACTTTCTTCTTCATCAAAATTACCATCACCACCATCCAAGTTCTTCCTCTTCTTCAAAATATGATTATCTTTTAAATTCGACTTTTGCTCTGGTGTACTTGGAGAGGGTGGTGCTGAATCTTCTTTTTCGCCACCTAATTCTTCAATTTTATCATCAATGTCACCATAAGAAAAACTCCAGCTAAAAATTGCACCGTCACGGGATAATGTATAAACCCTAGAAACTTTATTCCCATTTTTCTTCTCAATTCCCAAAAATACACCCACTATTATATCCCTATGACCTAACAATAAGAAAGACCTAGTAAAATTTTTCAATTTTTTCAAAAAAAAAAATACTCTTGCCGTCAAGTCTTTTGATCCCGCAAGCACATAATCCGAGTTGGGACTTTGTAGGAAATTAAAGTTGAAGTCTTTAATTTCCCAAAAAAAAGGATCAAGAAAACAAAAGAAAACAGAAGAAGAGATAGAAGAAAGAAAGAAATTTTATTGACTGCAAAAGATAATTTTCATCGTGCAAGTAGGTACTAATTTATAGGGACACACAGAGACTCATAACAGACTCCTAAAATGACTCAAATTACTCCTAAAGAATAGCTCATAAGATCCTATTCTTAAGACACAACTGCTACCCACTAAAACAACTTGAAAAACAAACTCCTAAAGGTCTGCAAAAGTGTTTAGATTTATTCAAACTAACAAGACTCAACATTAAATAAAATAAACACTCTGAGTTTAGATCAAATTCCAACAGCCTCCCTTAAACTCAAACTTTCAGAATTACACATCCCCATCTTGTTCTTCAAATTGTGGAAAACTTCAACTTTCAGCGGCTTTGTGAGAATGTCGGCGACCTGGTCTTCAGATTTGCAAAACTCCACTTCTATTTCACCTCCCTTGACAAGCTCATGAATGTAGTGAAATTTGATGTCAATGTGCTTTCTTCGCTCGTGAAACACCAGATTTTTCGTGAGAGAAATACCCGACTTGTTGTCACAATAAACCTTCGTAGGTAGTGTTTGCTTCTGATTCAACTCCTTGCACAAACGCTGTATCCAAATAGCTAGACATGCAGCAGAGGCAGCAGCCACGTGTTCTGCTTCAGCAGTTGACAGTGCCACAACTTGTTGCTTCTTTGATGACCAAGAAATTACTCCTGAGCCAATGTGGAACACAAAATCGGAAGTATTTTTTCTTTTCCAATATCACCTGCCCAATCACTGTCAGAATACCCAACAAGATTGCAGCCAGTAGCCGATGCATAAAAAATACCATGACTTTGGGTACCTTTTATGTATCACAAAATTCGTTTTGCAGCTTGTAAATGAACTTGGTTGGGTGTCTCCATAGACCGACTAATCATGCCAACTCCAAAAGTAATGTCAGGTCTAGTAGAAGTCAAATAACATAGACTACCTACCAAACTTCGAAAGTACGTTGGATTGACAAGATTACTGTTACCAGGTTTGTCCAACTTCAGCTTTCTTTCGACTGAAGTATTAATAGGCTTGCATGACTCCATCTTGAACCATTTCAAGATATCTGCTGCATACTTCTTTTGTGAGACAAATATCCCATCACCTGTCTGCATAACTTCAAGCCCAAGATAATAAGACATAAGCCCCATATCAGTCATATAAAAATCGTTAGTCATAGCTTCCCTGAACCTATCAAACATACTTGGGTTGTTTCCAGTAAATATCAAATCATCCACATACAAGCATACAATAAGCATATTTTCGTNAAGACATAAGCCCCATATCAGTCATATAAAAATCGTTAGTCATAGCTTCCCTGAACTTATCAAACAT